TAAGGCTAATTCAATTAGACTTAGTATGATATACCCTATGATAATAGTCAAATATTATCCACACTATCCTGTCAGAAAGCACAAAAATTGTAAGTGAATCCCTGTCTTAAGAATTGATGAAGGGCTGAGATGTAGCTCAGTGGCAAAGTGCTTGCCTAGTAAGTGCAATGTCCTGGGTTCAATCCCCAGGAACAAAAGAGAAAAAGACAAAAAAAAAAATTATGATGTTCTTCCACACCAACACTCAGACTATAGTATTTTCATACCAGACACTTAAAAGGAAGCACTATGTGAATATAATATATAATAATGTCCTTTACATAAGTAGGCTATGTTTTTGGGGGGGCTTTGGGAGGGTATAAAATTAATTAATTTTTATAGTGAAAATACTATACAGAGGGGTTATAATTACATGGGCAAGATAATGAGTACATTTCTTATCAAGCATTGTAGTCTCCTCCTTTGTTTCCCCTTCCCATCCCTTCCCATCATTCCCCCCCACCCCCCCACCCAATCCTTCCGGCCCCCCCACCAAAGTTGTAAAGTTCATTTTCAACATAACGACTTGTACTTCTCATTGTTGCAACAAGTCCACCTGTATCCTTATTTAAACGACTTGCTTTTCCTTTTCCTTCCACAAATTATACATCAAATACAGTGAAAGCAGGGGTTAGGAAATGGAAAGGCTTCGAAAAATTATATTAAGTGAAGTAAGCCAAGCCCAAAGAAACATAGGTCCCACGGTTTCCCTTATTTGCAATATCTAGTATGTCTGAGTCAAGCAGAAAATGTCAGATAAGGTGATGTTAGGGAAATGAACCCTAAGATATGTATTCAAATGCTTTTTTTCTTTCATGCGATTGTTTCTAACGCATTTATAAGATTATTTCTTTGTTGCTTTGTATGTCCCTCCCCCACAGTATAACCCCTGCTTTCACTGTATTTGATGTTGGTATAAAAGTTCATTTTTCGACATAACGACTTGTATATCTCATTGTTGCAATGGGTCCACCTATATCCCTATTTAAACGATTTGTTTTTTCCCTTCCCCTCCACAAGTTATACCAACATCAAATTATCTTAGCTATGGTAAATAATGCTGCAATAAATATAGTTGTGCTGGTAGCTTTAGTGTGGTCTTGTTTGTGATCATTTGGGTAAATGCCCAAAAGTGGGATTGCTGAGTCATAGGGGAGCTCTATGTGGAGTCTTTTGAGGAACCTCCATACTGCTTTCCAAAGTGGTTGAACAAGTTT